AAAAAAAAGGTTGTTGGACATTTCCCAAAGTAAGCCTCTTAAAAGACTCCAGATGATGCCAGATCTCATACGAGTGGATCCTGGAATGTTTTCCTCTGCTCAAGAACAACAAAGCCAGAACGGTTTTTGTATGACATGCGTCTCTGCATCTCACCGAGTAATTTATTAGGCACAGATTATAACAAGTTGGACCAGACATCAGCACGGCCTTAAGCCTTTGTTCAAGAAGGTGTCTAAAAAAATCCCTTTGAGAATTTGGAGTGGCTGCACAAACATCTTCCGTTCCATCACAGCCTAAAAATGCTCTGTTGGATTAAGATCTGGTAACGGTGGAAACTCATCGTGATGTTAAGGAAACCAGTTGGAGGTCTTTTTATGATAAATTATCCAGCTGGAAGCAGCTATCAGCAGATAGATACAGTAATGGATGAAGGCTATAAACAATAAACAATATCCCACAGTTTATTGCAGCACCCCTCCAGCTTTATCAGTTCATTTAAGACAGGTTGGATAAAAGCTCTTTCTTTTCTTTATGCCAAATTCAGATGCTATCAATAAAATGTTATCCAAATATGATTTGCATGATAAAGGCTCTGATACCGTTCTGCCATGTGTTAGTATGTAAATCTAAGCTATGCATTTAAAAGTATTTGGTTGTAAAGTAAACCAAATACTTAACTTAAATAATAAACAATTTTCACTGAGAAATATTTCAGATTTTGTTCTTTTTTATTTTTATTTTTTTTAAGGAAAAATAATGCGCACAATAAATGTCTTGCAAAAAATAACTAAGTACACGTTTCTAATATTTTTCATTTGCAGATTGGTGGCGGCTACAACATGAACGCAATTGTCTCCAAAGTCGCCGTGGGAACGATAAAGGAGTCCCGAGAGCTCCGGATCCAGCCTTTCAACGAGTACAGGAAGCGTTTTAACCTCGAGCCATACACATCATTCAGAGACTTCACTGGTAAGACAGGCGGCTGTTGTGAAACCCATGCAACTCCAAGTAGAGACGACCTGGAACCAGACTTGCAGCTTTCTGCAAGTCCTTGAAAACACATGCAACCGATGTTGAGTCTCCCATTGCTCCAAAAGGTAGCAATAGGAGAGATGAACAGTTGAGATTTTATGTTATGATTTGCCATAAAAATCATTCGGAGACATTTTGTCTTCATGTCAAATAGTTCCAGAAACAAGAAAGATTTGTGGCTGAAAAAACTCTGGCCACCATAGTCAGGGTCCAAAATATTTGAGGGTGCATAATATGACAGTGAGAGCAAAGAAAAGGCCAGACTTAGAGTAGCAGGACTCAGGATGTCATGTCTGAAAGAGTGTTTGGTGCTGCAATGCTCAGAGCACCAATGCCACATATGCAGCTTTGAAACGTTGTTTATGGGGAAAGGCCATGTATAGCATGTAAAACAAGTGCAATGGAGCATCTGCCTTGCTGTTAAATGTGTTGGTAATATTATGGCCTGACAACAAATCAAACCAGGTTTGAGTTTCTTTCATTCATCATATTTTGGGAAGGATTGAAGAAAATCTGTCTTCATTTAATATCAATGGCCGGATTTGGGATTTGACCTGTGCAAAGGAGTTTGTCTATAATTGTGTTGCTCTTACAGCTTTCTAAGAGCAACACAATCTCTTAAAAAGCTATGATGCTAACTTGTATAGTAGAAAGAAAATTATGCATTATTTTTCAAATCTTTTGCAAATAAAGGAAAGCTGACTGTCTTTTTTATGTATGCATCAACTTTCCGAACCTCAATCTTTCCTCTTTCCTCTATTCATAAGTGCTCAAGTTTAGTGAAATTGAATGAAGAGTAACTCTGTTTTTTTTTTCTAGATAGTTTTTCAATTGGATTTGGGTCTGGACTTTGACTAGGGCATTCTAGCACATGATTGTCCTTTAAACTAAACTATTTCAGAGCATCTTCTTCTGTAACCTTTTTGAAGCGTTATATATTATACTGATCTGCCACCTTAACATTCACATATCTGTCAGATTGATATATTTACTCATCTTCCTTCAACCGCACTATCAGTGTACATTTTAAGTGTCGCTTCTGGTTGGTTTTTACAGACAACGAGGAGATCGCCAGCACCCTAGAGGAGCTCTACGGGGACATCGACGCTCTTGAATTTTACCCCGGGTTACTGCTGGAGAAGACCCGACCAGAGTCGATATTTGGAGAAAGCATGGTGGAAATGGGTGCCCCGTTTTCCCTCAAAGGCCTCCTGGGTAACCCCATATGTTCCCCCGAATACTGGAAGCCCAGCACATTTGGAGGCAAAGTCGGCTTCGACATCGTGAACTCGGCCACTCTGAAGAAGCTGGTGTGTCTGAACTCCCGGACGTGTCCCTACGTGGCGTTCAGCGTTCCAGCAGAGGAGAAACCAGTCAGGAAAGAGCGAAGCACTGAGCTATGACCATGTGCAGATCCCCGGGAGGAGTTGTGTGTGTTTTTTTTACACCAGGTGGCTGCACAAAGCAAGCAAAGACATTCGTTTGGAGAAAACAGCAGTGCTTGTTTTAGCAGCACTGCAGATCGTTACAGAGCCCAGCACTCTGTGTAAAATTCAACTCTCCTGTTACTAAACTCGCTCGGAGTGTGTCCCACACTTGAACAATCACATCACTGAGGAGCCGAACATGTGCTTTTTATTAAATCCTTTCTGCCTACAGACTGAAAAGTTGTTGAAGTTTGGACCATCCGCTAAAATAGATGTGTATTTGTTGGTAAATAGTTTATTTTGGAATAAAACTATAGCCATGTGACATGTTGTTATCAATTTAATAAAGATTGGAAGATGACATCTATTGTTCTATCCATTTCCATTTACTGAGAGCACTGAATCAGTATTTTTTCTGGCAGGTAGTTGTGATGGGAACGGAAACCTCACACAATAGTGGAGCACTGTGGGTGTTGGTTTAATGATTAGTCACATTGAAGTAAAACATTAAAGAATGGAAAACTAACATTTTAGGACACCATTTGGGATAGATAGAGGTCTTTACAGACAAATTGATCTGTTAAAGTCTTAAGACAACACATGTTCATTTTTACAGGATGTTTTTCTAACATGGCTGAAACTGTTTTGTTTTTCTCTTAGAGCGAGGCTGAGTCAGCACAAATCTTGTTACCGGCACCCTGCGCCTTTTGTAAGAAAGGAAATTATGATCGGGATGTATGACTTGGCAAATTCGCTGCTGTGATTGTAGTTAACGTTGCAAGTAGCTCGGATTCTGGATTCCTGTGCAGATGAGTGAAGCCTGGAGCTTGATTTAAGCGTTTCCAGGTCTGGAGAAATGTGTAGATAACGAAAAGTATGTAAATAGAGGAAGAAAAAAAATATATTTGTATTCAAGACCATCTCATTGTCAAAAATTTGTCTTTTAATGTTTCCTCCCATCCATATTCCTTCTTTCCTGTCTTGTCTCCTTACTTCCTTTCTTGTTTCCCTTTTTCCTTTCTTTATCCATTCTTTTTTTCTCTCTTTATTTTTCTATCATTCATTCACTCCCTCCTTTTACTATCCTCCCTTCTTCCTTTCCTTACCTTCTTCATTCCCATTTTATTATTCATCTTTTTCTTCCTTTGTACTTCCCTGTTTCCTTTTTCTTCCTGCCTTTCCTCACCCTCTTTCTTTATCCATTTATTCCTTTCATCTGTCCATCTGTTTTTATTTTTCTTTTATAGCCGGGACACTTTAGAAATTAATTTAATCCTTTGTATTTTTTTTTACTTCCGGCGTAAGAGCAGTAAGAGGTCTGAAAATATCCACGTAGAAGAGTTTATGGTCACATTGCCCTCTAGAGGTGAAAGCTCTAACTACAAGTAAAGTCACCCGTGTTGCCTTCAAGTGCTTCCAGGAAAGACTATATGACATGCAATTAAACAGTTTTTGCAGTTTTGCTTCACTATAGCGTCTAATAGAGCCTATCTATCTCAAACTGCTCGGTGGAAAGTTATAGGAGTAAACGTTTGTGGACAATTGAGAGTAAAATGAAGTTTGAATAAAACGTATCATCAAGTAAAAAAAGAAAAAGAAAGCTGTTTCAATCATCCCATGTGACCTGAAGTTATGTATATAAATCTAATTCTTTCTTGAAGAAACGACTGACATTGGCAGCATTGTCTTTCATAATTAATGACCTTTGGGACAAGACTATAGCTGTGAACACGTTGTTAGTTCAACCAAAACAAAGATAGTCATAAAACATGTAGACATCATCTCCATCCTTCCCTTTCCAACCCAAAGCAGAATGCAACATGGGTAAAAACTAAATGAAAGTGGAACATTTTGAGTGTTGTGGTCTGTTAGCTGAGTTCTGATAAATATTAAATCTACTTCCTTTGACATATATCTGTTTGCTAAATAGTTTAATATGACTCTTCACAAAAATAAGTGATAAATGTTGACTGATGATGTTTTGTTGCAGCCCTAGTCCAAAAGTGGAGAAAAACTAAACAGCTTTCTGACTGGCAGTGAAATATTCTCCCTCTGAGCTTCTAGTCACGCACATTTGATATCCGTCTCCTTCCAGACTCCATAATTTCATTGTGTGTTTCCGTCCTTTATTTATTCGTAAAAGGAATGAGTATAATTTTTTTTTCTCTCATGATGTTGCAAAGAAACAATCCATTACAGCTAGGGTCAGACGCGTTGCCTACCCAGGTTTCCGCTACAGCTTTGGTTGCAGCTGCCAGTGCAGAGCTTGCGCACTGGCAGGTGTGTGTGTGTGTGTGTGTGGGTGGGTGTGTGTGTGTTTCTTTACACATGGGTCAGGGAGTGAAGGAGTTCTGATTTCACATTAAAATCTTTTGAAATAAACAATACTGACGTGTTGAAGAAATAACGGACAAAAAAAAAAATCCCACAACGAGGAAATAGCAAAGTTTCCTCATCCAGTTTCAAACTATTGGCCATGATTACACAATTACTACAAACGTCTGTCTCTGTTGGGTCAATATTCCTATTCACAAAGTCTCCGTGAATGCATCGTCGGAAGGGGGCGTGGCCTGTGCGAGCTAAGCTAAACAGATTACAAAGTGAACAGACTAAGCGGCGCTATTTTAAAGAGGTTACTGGCTATATTTTTAGGTAAGTTGTTATGAGTAAGCAGTATCACCAGTTTCGTAAATATGTAGAATTTCAGCTACACGAAAGGAATTCAGCTGGTTGTTTCGTTTGAGTCCATAACATATGAAAGCTAGCTAGCTAGCTTCAGTGCTAGTGAAGCTAAGTTCACTTTTCTCCGAAGAACAGCGTGTTCGGCTTATTTTCAGCATAGAATAGTTGAAAAAAGACAATTTAATATATATTCTTTATAGAGGGTTGTACTGTTACTTTGAAGAGAAGTATACTGGGTTACTGGGTTGGTTGTTAAGTCGGCAGGTTTGTTTAAGGCCTCTTAGTTACACTGTTTACATGCATCGTACACACTCCACAGAAATGTGGAGATGTGCTATAACTATAGTAAATAAAGAACAAAGATTTATTGTTCTTGGTTTGGCTAAATGTTGTAAGCGTAAAAAGCACGATAGGTGAGAGGGATCTGTCAACAATGACTTCCTTCTTTTCTCTCCGACTGGATTTTTACACGGATCAGAGCAACAGACCTTGCAGTTAAATGAGCTGATGTCCTGTTTTCCTTCCACTGTCGACTTGTACGTCTTTTAGTCCGGATCGCAAGTGTTGTCAATGAGGACAGGAGTTAGTCCACCGGGGCCTGATCTTGTTGCCTCTGTGGCGTGTTTTCAGAGCTGAGCCGCTGAAATGACGACCCTGGACGACAAGCTGCTGGGTGAGAAGCTGCAGTATTACTACAGCAGCAGTGAGGATGAAGGCAGTGACAACGACGATGAAGACGGGGAGAGGAAGACCATCCGGGACGCGGGCGCCACCGAGCCCGACGTAGAGTACAGTGCAGACGGAAGTGCTGTCAACACAGGTGACAGAATGATGGGATTTCTGTCTTATTTGTCATGCTTCTTTATCAGTTGACTTTAACATGTGTGGGAGGCTCATTTGGGCAAGAATTGTGAAAGTATTTGTGCGTACATCTGAACTTTTTCATTTTTACTCACCTCAAAGTGTTGCTTTTTATCTCTTTGCAAACCAGGAATAAAAAGGCTTTTGAAAGCAACCAGTCTATTGTATTTTGAAGGATGTAACACTGCTACACTCTTCAGATTTTTATTTGTAAGAATGATTTTAAAATCCCAATAAAATGCATTGTAGTATGTCGTTGTGCTGCAACAAAATACTTTTGAAATCTCTTTACCTTTTGAGCATTAAAAATAAATGACAACATGGATTTATTGGTTTTATTTCTTTTTACTGATGTTCTGTTGCAGGGCCGAAGGGAGTCATCAACGACTGGAGGAAGTACAAGCAGCTGGAGGTGGAACAGAAACAGGAGCAGAAGAAAGAGATGGAGAGACTGATAAAGAAGCTGTCGATGACGTGCCGCTCCGATCTGGACCTGAAAAAAGACAAAGAGGAGGAGAAGAAGCTGCAGGACAAAATTAAAAGCAAAGTAAGCAGGAAAGGGTTGGATTCAGTTTATTTCACAAATTATTGACGTAAATGTGACTCTTAAATGCAGCTGGGATAGTTAAAGTGCAAGGATATCATTAAGGATATCATTAAGGAAAGCTAACCTGCTTAATAAGCTTTGGATTTGGTTGTATTTTTTTTTGACACAATTAACTAAACCAAACACCGCTGCGGATCTTTTGTTGACTTTTATTCAACAAAAAATTAACTATCCTCTTCCTGGCTTTGTCTCGCTCCACAGATGACCATGCAGGAGTACAACATGCTCCAGGAGGACGAGGACGACGAAGACTTCCTCCGGCAGTACCGAATGCAGCGCATCGAGGAGATGCGCCGCCAGCTCTGCCGCGGGAAGCGCTTCGAGCGGGTGCAGGAGCTCGGCGGCGGCGAGGAGTTCCTGGAGGCGCTGGACAAGGAGGACAAGAGCACGCTGATCATGATCCACATCTACGAGCCGGAGATCCCGGGCTGCGACGCCATGAGGGGCAGCCTGCTGTGCCTGGCGCACGAGTACCCTCTGGTGAAGTTCTGCTGCGTGCGCAGCTCGGCCATCAGCATCAGCGCGCTGTTCAGGGAGAGCGCTCTGCCCGCGCTGCTCGTCTACAAAGGAGGGGACCTGATCGGTAACTTTGTGCGGCTCACCGATCAGCTCGGGGAGGACTTCTTCGCCGTGGACCTGGAGGCGCTCCTGCAGGAGTACGGCCTGCTGCCAGAGAAGCCCGCTATGGTCCCAAAGACACTCATCAATGGAGCCATCATTCAGAGCAACGCGAGCGACGAGGACTCAGACCTCGACATAGATTAGGCCTCTAAATATCTGATACTCTGCTTGGTAAAGCCGCACACCTAGTCTGCATGGACCATGTATATTTATTTATGTGAAGCCCTTGTTAGAGATTCTGCCCTGACCTCACAGCAGCAAAGTGAAAAAAAAAAAGCAGGAGAAGTCATTCACTTCATGTCATTCCATTTTGAATATTTGGATGAGGGTAAAAGTTACTTCTGATCATTTGTGTTTGTTGTTCGACACATTCCGTTGCGTTCTTCATGTCTTTTCATCCATGTTTCACTCTCGTGAATATCAAACCTTCACCTCCAGACTGACCTTCTTAGTTTTGTAACTTTTATATGTGCTGTACCCTCAAATAAACTGGACTCAAAACACCCCTTTTTCTTTATTTATTAATTTTTCTGTAAATAAGTAGCTAAGTCCACAAAGTTGTTGAAGGAAAGTGCAAGTTGAAAGTTGCATTGATTAGCAAGCTGATGTGTGATGCCAGCCTGAAACAGAAACCCATCTGTACTCGCAACTCTGTAGAAACCATCCTACTAGAAAAGGTGAGAATTAGCATTGTTGCCATTTCCTGGTAATGCTCTGCTAATGGTTGGACTGTGGAAGGCCAAAATGGCCCCTGTCTCGCTAAAAAGTCAAGCCAAAAACTATTTGTGACTTGAGGACGCCATAAAATACGGAGAAAATCCCGTTAAAAACGCCTCTCTGGTGTCTGTGGGTCCTCTGTGTGTTTCAGCTCTTATTTTCTTGCTCCTTTAAGGTTACCCGTATCTCAGTAGAGAAAATTATTGCACATGCAGGCATAAACAAACTATTCCTGGAGCATGCAGTGGCGTAGCAAATATGAGCACCGCAGAATCTGATTAACATTTTCATTGCTTTAGCAATTTTGGCTTAAAGTAAATGTGTGCCTACAGAGTGCTGTTTTCATTTCAAAAATGTAACCTACTTGTTTTATTTTTACACCAGCAAATATAATCATGTTGTTGGATTAAAAAAAAAATCTAATACAAAACATTTTCCCAGGCTGAAATAATCATAAAGCAGCACAGAAATTACACAATGTAGCTTTAATGCCTGTTTTATTAATACAGTTAACCAAACATATTTTAATATACAATTTATAGTTTGGGGTTGCACAGTGGAGCAGTCGGTGTGTGCATGATTGCTGTGCTTCTGGCAGGAAGAAGGTCCTGGGTTCAATTCCAAGTCTGGGGTCTTTTAGGCCTGGAGTTTGCATGTTCTCCCTGTGCATGGTGGGTTCTCTCTGGGTACTCCGGTTTCCTCCCACAGTCCAAAAGAATAACTGTCAGGTTAATTGGTCTCTCTAAATTCTCCCTAGGTGTGTGTGCATGGTTGTTTGCCCTCTCTTCCTCTGTGTTGCCCTGCAACACACTGGCGATCCTCGCCCGGAACGTTCGTGGGAGATCGGCACTAGCAACTCCCGACCCCACGAGGGACAACAGTGTACCGAAAATGAATGATGGACTTATAGTTTAAGCACTAGGATTATCTTTACGCTTTCATGGCCATAGTTTTAAGGGTGGAGTTACGTAAAATCAACTTTTTTGAGCTTTTCTCTCACCAACCGCCATCTTTCCAACCACCTCAGAGTCTCCATGCCGAGCTTCTGCCTCACAGAGCACCCCTCCTCTGCAACGCATACAACTCAGCTCCTTAAGACTAGGGGCGGCAGCATTTAGCAAACACTGTGTCGAGTTGTGATGATGAACTGACAACTGGTTCATCATGTGAACTAGTTGTCAGGGCAACGCTCCTAAGGCATAATGGAGGAGTGGCGGAAAGAGTGGGAGGTTCTTAAAGAGACAAAGGCCCAATTTCAAGGCCTTAAATTGCGAAGTCAGATTTCTTTTAAGTTAGGTTTGGTATATATTTTTTTTTACAAATGAAAGTAACAACTACTTGATTGTGCTGCAAAATAGCACAATATGCCTGAAAAATACATAATACTGTCCATTTAATTAATAGCTCTAGAACTTTGCTAACCCTAACCTTTTTTTCCAACAGCGAATTTAAATTTTTGTTGGACTTTTTATGCATAAGTCGACATGACGTCATAATTATGCAAGGCACCGTTGCGCCCTTCTCAAATAGCATAATTAGGCATCGCGGGTATGACACACCTGAATAAGCTTCGCAGTCGACAGAAAGCTACCTGATGCATCCTGAAGGTCGACTCGACTCGTCCGTACTTTGACTAATCGCTCTGATCTGATCGGGGTGGATCTGGGGAGCGATTATCCCCAGAGGCGGCAACCAAACTCAAAACCGCTTGATTAAATCACTGGTATGGTTTCCAGATTAATCCCACAAAGCCAGGAGACGCTCGGTTGATGTTAAAAGTGAACATGAGTGGGGAGGGGGAGATAACGGGGCCAATCGGTGACTACAAGCAGCTGTACAGCACCGTGAGGCAGGGCAGCACCAGCAGCAGGGGGGCCGCGTCCTCGAAGAAAGGGGCGGCTGAGCTGTTCACGTCGTGTCCGCAGAAGGCGTGCTCCAGCAGCAAATGGGTCTCTGCGCTGATGCCTGGTGCAGGGGGAGGAGGAAGAGGAAGAGGAGGGAAAAGCACGCTGTCATTACCCAGGAACCGGATCCAACGCATTGTGTGCGTTGATCACGTTTCACTATCTCTCTGCTGCCTGCATGGCCGTGAAATCGATGCCAATGAAGGCTGCAGCCGACGCGCTCGGAGCGCAGAGCGGAGCTGCTGCGCAACTCTGAATTCACGGTAATGCTTCGGGAGACCTTGGAGACATGCGCACCGTGTTGAGACCATTCCTCCCACAGGTGCTGGACGGCCTCGTTGTGATGCCCGTGGTGGTCGTAGTGATCCGGATCTGCTTGAGAAGCACAGTGAAGCTGCAGTTAAAAATGAATGAATGAATAAAGAATGGAAGCAGACAGGGTAACTCTGGAGGAGCTGCGGAGATCCAGAATGAAAACGACCCAAAGGAGAAAAAGATTTTTAAAAAATAATAATTAAAACTGGGGACTGCAGCGGCATAAACATACAAACAGAGATCAAAGCATGTTGTCAGAATGACCTAGTCAAAGACTTCCAGACTATAGTCTAGACTTTGACTTTCCTAGTCATAGGAAAAAGTGAAATAACTCAAAAAAAGCTCACCGCACCTTTTGGATTTTTATTGGTAGAAAATGTAAAAAAGAAAAAAAACATGCATTGTTTTTCTACTGCTTCACAATTAAGCACTACTTTGTCTTTATCTGTTACATAAAATTCACTGGTGTAGGAAGAAATTGTTGAAGGGGTCTGAATACTTTTACTTTAAGTTAAAGTTGCATCGTTACATGTTGTGATCGTGAATGTGTAAAGAGGAAGAAAAAGAATGAGAGAATCAAGCTAATACAGAAAACAGCTCTTAGTAGTATAATAAACAATGGGAGTTTTATGCTTTTAGAGAGTTCTGTCAAAAAAAAAAGATCTGTGTCATAAAAAGCACAAAAGCACATTTTATTTAGATAAAATAAAATGTTTTACAAAATAAAAATGTAAAAAAGTAAGTTCTGATTTAGTCAAGTTGTATTTGCAGTTTATGGGGGGGGAAAGGCGGCGTACCATTCGTGTGATGCCAGAGCATTCGCTTCAGCTCCCTGAGGGCCTGGGTGAGGTTTTCCAGCTGATCGTGGAGGTGAATGTTCTCCTCTATCAGGGCGTGGATTGTGTCCTGGAGCTCGAAGCCTTGACCTTCCAGCATGAGCAGGGTCAGGGGCAGGAAGAAAAGCGCTGGTCTCGGTCCTCTCATGATGACCAAGCACACAGAGGCTTTGTCATTCCTTCACTGACAGCTGCTCATTGCCTTCATCTTGTGCATCTGTCTCCCCTGGTGATTGGTCTGGCAGGTTTTATGAGCTTACAAAGGTGGGTGGGGGCGACCTTTAATTCCAAAGCCGCGAGTGGAAAGCTGCCAGCGGGGCTGGTTTAAAATCTATCAAATCATTCTACATCAGTGAACACAGCAGCACAAAGCCTGTTTGCAGCAGGATCTCATTTACATGACATATATGTGATTAAACACTGTAAGTAAACTCAACACTTTGAGGACTACAATGAAAATTATTGATAATATTCTTTCGTGTTTATTTTGACTGCACAGATCAACATAGCCAGCATTATTTGATTAACTGTTGCTCACATTTGCCTCATCTGCCACATGGCAGGTTAGCTACAGTAAAACCTGCTATATTAAAGACTCGACTGGCACAATGCAAGCTGGAGGTGGTTTAATGAGTTGCAAACAGTGATGTCAGAAACTTTCTGCCTTTAAAACTCTTGCTGGAAGTAGGTCAGTAAAGCCAATCGTGTTCTCGCTGACCCATTTGTAGTCGCTGCAAAAGCAGTGGCGTTAGAAGAGGTGTTCAGAAGAAAATGACAGAATAAACATATCCATCATCCTGTTCCTATGATTTAGTCCTTTAAATCAAATCAAGTTTTCTTCAAGTGCCTTATTTTTCAATAAAAGCTGTCAGATTGTAGAGGTTGTTTTTGGATAACAGCTTTACTGAAAATTAATAAGTGTAAGAATGTCACAAGATATGTAGTGAACTTAATAAAGGTCAATGGAGAGGGCGGGTCAGATTTTGTACAGCGTATAATAAATCTGGTCATTTCAAAGCAACAGATTGTGACAAGTATCTATATGTGTACATTTCTACAAAAAATTATCTCTGACATGACAATGTCAATATTGAATAATTTTGTATCAGGAGCGTACTAGATAAGAGCATCAGTGAAATCTTTCCCGCAAGAAATTGCAGAACTAAAACTACTGAAGACAACATACAGCGTTTCTTCAAACAAAAAGCCTTTATTTATTTTTCATGTGTATTAGTTTATGCTGTCTTGACAGCCCTGGTGCGCTTCTTTTTCACCACAACAGGCTTCTGGCTCTTCAGAATAGCACTGGCACGACGCAGGGCAGCCTGGAGGAGGGGAAACAAATAAAACCACCATTATAATCCTAAAAACTTCTAAAAACATTATCACAACTTATGAAGCAAACCAGAAATAAACTAGGTTTTTTCTTGAAAAACACAGGTAGTGATCTCACCATGCGCAGGTCCTTCCTGTAGTTGTTCTTGCGAATGATGTGCCTCAGGCTGTTGAGTGTGGCACGGGAGTTCTTGTTGATGGTGACTTTAACATAGGATGCGGAAGGCTTGTGCTGGCCTGAGCAACGAGAAAAAGTTGTTTCACATCATGGTCACCACAGAGCTTTAACAAATCAACACAGTAAATCTGCTACAAACGCACCACCTTTAGAAAGCGAGTTTCTTTCTGTCAGTAATATGCTTTGCGTTTTTACCTGCACGTCTCTTCAGCACCACCACGACACCCTTGCCGTCAGCTGCAGGCTGCACACCGACCGTCTTCTTGTGCACCAAGCCGTTGAAGCGGAAAGAGTTCCTGGCCTTCAGGTTGTTGGGCTCCTGCGATAGAAAAGTGACTCAGAAACCTTACTTCTCTGCCTTATAATGAACAACTGAGCTGACAACAAATGCTGTTGTCAACTACAACTTCTAAATGACAAAATATGTTTTTGGGACTTCGACTATTCCTATGTATAAGTCTCTGTAGATTTTATGAAACAAAGAAAAAGAAAAAAAAAATGTGTTAAAAAAAGACATTCAAACTGAATAAAGATGCAATGAAAAGCTGGAATTGATAGATTTTGAGATTGATCTGTCTCCAGTGGAGATCAGAACCCCCAAAAAATACCGTCTTTTAATGATCAGTGAATGCTTTAAGAACTGCAAAGTTGTGCTGATGTGAGAAAACTCAGAGATGTTGATAAAAGATGGCAAAGTCTGAGATGTTCAACAATAAATTGAGGAAAAACGGAAATCTTTAGGCAGCTAAGCAGGTAATATATGTGGATGGAGGCTATTTAGTAGCAATAGCTACACTGATTATTTATGTAATGGTAGATAATTAACTCTAACCTAGAATTTTCATAATAATAGTAAAACCACATCTTAAAGTGACTCCTCTGACTCTCGGCATTACTGTGCCTTTAATTCTATCACAAAATGATGACACTCATTGCAAAAAGGTAAGAAGAAATATGTTTAAAGCTTAGGACTCCTTAAACTAAAAGCAAAATGGCAAGTTAATCCTTTACAAACTCAGGGATTGTAAACTGGCCACCAGATATATTTATATTATTTTGAGAAAAGATGACATGAAGACACTTTTCCCCAGGTCCTCTAAGAAGTATATATGCAATCTTTCTGTTAACTTACAATATCTACAACAACTCAAAGTCTATTTGTTTACAACTTTGACACTTCGGAGTCGATCCTTGTATACTCACAGTGCTGTAGGTCTGTCCATTCCTCTTGATGAGGAAGCTGGAGCAGTTCCTGATGACCATCCACTGCAAATGGGACGACATGATGAACCTGAAAAATGAGGGTAGCTGTTTAAGAAACATTAAACGTCAATTGTTCGGTTTTAACTACAAATGCTCTGAATGGGAAGAGGTACTGTGTCACTATTTACTACGGCAATAAAAGCAGAAAGTCTTGTCAAAAGACGTGAACAAGTTAAGCTCCGATGTTAGAATCTAGTTAGATAATGTTAAAGCACACAGTCCATGTACTATATTTGTATCAACCTTCAGTTTATTTCATTAAAGTTTAGCTCAACCAGCTAACGTTAGCTTCACCACTCATCAGTACACGGTGAGGCCTAGGTTAGCCAACATACTGACACGTTTATCCTTAACTTCATAAATAGAACAAGATTGTTTACTGCGACAAAAAGTGTGTAATAATACACTACGCAAAGCTATCCAGTTTTATTTGTGTAAATACAACCGTGAACAGAAAACTAATCTATTTTATTTACCGGCTATTAGCAGCCAAAGCGACCACGTTACCTTTTAGCGGAGGAAAAGGACCAGAGAGACCGGAAACCGCTTCACGGAACCTTTTCAGAAATCCTTACGCATTGAAAACCGCTGTTCTGTAAACATTTTGTGAGATGAGCGAGGCATATGAAACTTGAAATAACAAAGTTGACTTAAATATTACACTCAGGAGTGAACTTTTAGCTTTTTGCCCCCACACGAGCCCATTATTAGTATTTTATGAAAAACTAGTTCTCAACGACAACAGCGGAGGGACATGTTTAATGAATGTTCTCTCTGGCATGACGTCATTTATGTGCGTCGCATGTTTACAGTCAGAAATGAACCCCTGATTACAATTGATTTTAAAGCGTTTTGATAGTGTGTCGTTTTATATTAAACGCGCTGGTTAAAGTGGTAAATGCGGACTAAGGAGAGGACGCTTATTGTCGGAGATATTGAATTGTTTGACTTTGTTTCTGATCTTTTTTTTTTTTTGGCAGATACGTTTAAACCTTATTCGAGGATGTGAAACTCGAAGTTGTTGGAGTTGAAAAGTTGGAAAACCATTTATCGCAAGGATTCACTCCGGTTTAAGGTGGTAGATAAAAGCTGTATCTGAATGAGTGAGCATGGATAAAGAAGAAGATTTGGAGATACTTGGTGAACAGCTGTACTCTCTGATCTACCCCAAACACAAGGAGGGTGCTGCAAAACTCACAGGTGAGCTCACCTGTATGATGCATTTTAAATACTATAAATTATTTGCCGTAACAAAAACATAAACAGCGTTCATATCCTCTGTCCCGTTGTGTAAATCCATCCATCCATTTCGTCTTTTTTGTCCTCTAAATGCAATTTAATGGTTTGGAAGTTTTTTTTTATTTTTTTTTATCTACATTTATATTTAAAAAAATGTAAATGAAAGGGCTGAGAACTTTGAAGATGAGGGTTTAAAGATGCAAATGAAATGCATAAATGCTAAAGTAAACTCTTCTTTGAACTTGGTTATGTGTTTCAGGTATGTTACTGGAGCTTCCAGCTGCTGTTTTGAGCCAGATGCTGCAGGATGAGGCCATGCTGACGGCAGCTGTGGAGAAAGCTCTCAGAGCTCTGCAGCTGGCACTGAAGGCCAGGTATGATCATCAAACGGAGACTGGAGCAATGATGTTGGTTTGTAATGCGGGTGAAGACTATGAATAAGCTTCGTGAACATAACCCTTTCTTTGTTTGTGTGATTCCTTTCAGTGAGGCAGCACAGAAAGATGAGGATGATGTGTCCGAGTCCTCCGACTCTCTGGGGGAGCAGCTGTTTGAGTTGGTGGATGTTTACAACACTGGTCACTCAGAGAAAATCACAGGTGAGGGAAATATCCTCGCTCTTCATAAGCACAGAGATTACCCTTCAGTATACATTTTCTTCATTTGTTTGTTGATCCGTTTGGCCTGCAATTTTTGACATGTTAATATTGTCTTCAGTGTGGTGAATCAAATAGTCAAAATGCTATTGTATGTAATCAAACCCACATTCAGTTTATCTGCACTTGTCAGTTGAGCATACAAACATCTACAAGTCATTTTTGCAGAGTTACAGTGATAGCACCGACAGCTTTTATCTACTTTTAAGTGCTGTTTTTTACTTTTCCAAAATTTTAATTATGAATATGGTGTACTGTATTCATCTGTTTTTGGTCTTTCTAAATGCTCTTTTGCTGAACTGAAATTGTAAAAATAAAACAATCAAATGACTGTGAATATCAGGACATTCCTATGCTACGTTTGGTTTTTAGCATCATTACTCAGCATTACTGGAGATGTACTTTTCTTATGCAATGACAAAGTGTTTTGTCTTGTGCACAGGAATGCTTTTGGAGCAGCACAAAGATGTGATTTTACAGCTTTTGTCAGACCACAAACTCCTGGAGGAACATGTAAATCTTGCCCTGAAGACACTGAAAGAGTTTGTAGCTTTTTACTCTGAATTTTGTCCTCACATTCAATTTATGTCATAATCGAGACACACTTTACATCAGATTTTTTTTTAACTGCAGATAATATATTCTGCCTTCTTTTTCAGGCAGAATATAGAGAAGGACCTCAGCGATGCTTCAGAAGGTGACGAGACAGACAGGCTGGGAGAGAAGCTCTTCTCATTGGTAGAGGAGATGGATTCACTGCATGCAAATGACATCACAGGTGAACTGACCCTGATTTATTTACCGTTCAACATGCACAATCTCTTGGCTGAGAGATAGTGCCCCTAACTCTCATAAAGACATCCACATTGTGTTTTTCTAGGTATGCTCCTGGAGATGGACGCTGCTTCTGTGCAACAGCTGCTCAGTGACCACACAAAGCTGCAGGTTGCGGTTCAGAAAGCACAGGCAGTGCTGGATACTGAGAGCTAAGCTGGATTTGATCAACCCCCGATTATGAAGACTTTTGTTATTTTAGACTAAATTGTGAACTGGGTATGAACGCAAGATGACCGATGAGTCTGAAAGACATCATTCTGCTGAAATGAAGGCTCATTTCTGAGTCCTCTGTTTGCAGTGTCAGCGTCTAATGAAAAACAAATCTTCACGGCTTCACTTTGGTGCCAAATCTTTATGGTTTTCTTGATAAAACTGTTTACACTAATGCATAAGAATTGATTTTCTTCTATAGAAGTCTCAGAAATTTGGATCAAGATGCTGCTTTTCGTTTTGCATTATTGTAAAAAATTTTCAGCTGCTAGGAAATATAGCCCATTTTCAAATACATTTTCAAATACATTTCAAATACATGCTTACTGTTGTATATTATAGTGACAGAACTATCTCCAAATACTGATTATAAAGATATTCATCATTACTATTTCTTAGTCCTGTGTTCAGCTGTAGCATACAAAAGGAGGACAAAAATGAATGACTGAGCTAATGTGGATGGATTTATGTAAATATATAAGGTTTGATATGCTGATTTATTTTTAAGTTTACATTTTAATAATGTAGAATATGACTCACTATCAAAGAAGGAGTAATTATGACTGTTTGAGCTCAAAATGACCATTAGTGACACAATATAGCTAATTATGTTGGACCAATCACATTTCATCCTCCTCCAAAAAACAGCTTCTTTGGGGAAGAAGCACTCCTGTTCACTTTAAAATATGAAAGTGTTTGGTTAATTCATTTCTGAACTTGCTGTCTAAAGGAGAAGGCTTCAGAGCAACTCTGTAGGTACCAAGTGATTCATTCAGATTAGAGCTCGTTAACACGTTCACAGGTGGTGAATAAGACTTATAAAGTGTCATAAACATGACATAACACCTGTCATGAACATGAGTAGCTCTCTCTGACTGTTGTCATAAAGTGTCATTCGGTTAAATCGCGTCACTTTTAATACAAAGTTTACATTATTCAAAATGTCTTTGTTGTGACAACTTGATGTCAAATCATGATCTGACATATTTGTTATAAAAGTATGATTGATTAAACTTTAGCTTTAATAACAACGCTACATAATTTTTAAAGTTTAATCAGTCATACTTTTATAACAAATTCATGTCAGATCATGATTTCTTGGTCAATGTCAAGTTGAGAAACGAAGACATTTTTGTCTTCGTTAAATACAACAGTACTGAAGAAAGATCTTTCTTTATTCCTGACTAAAAACAAATGTTAAAAATATATATCATGAGTTAGTGAATAAATTATTGCTGTATTGACTTCCATATTTTCGAAATAAATATTTAAAAAACAGAATATTGTTATGTTATCACTACTGTATCTATATTTACATCTTAATATTGTCATTTTCTTTGAAATTCAAACTCTGCCAAATTTCATTCACCTTACAGAGCTGACCTCGACTTTCATTTTGCAGAAATAAAGGACAACCAACTCATTTCAAAATGCCTTTTTTATGTAGTAAATGAAACCGCTAGACATCTCCATCAAAGTGCTACATAGCGCAAAAATAACTTTATTATTTCCATTTGTTTCCATTATTTGTACTGATGATTCTCTGTCAATGTTTTCACAGCAGAAATTCTAAAACAACGGAGAACACCGGTCGCTGCTGGTTAACAATCCGACTGATGTCTGCAGAATGAGTGACGGAGTAACATCTGGGGGTGACAAACGCCAGACTTGGGGAGTTACATCTGTAAACTAAAATGACAACATATTTAAGAGTACGACTAGCTCACGGTTCACAATTTTAAAGATTTATTGGTATGCAGAAGCAGGCGATACAAACGATTAGATTGTGATTGTAATTTCTTCAATCAATAATGCATCTGGTCAAAGCCTATTTGGAAAAAAAAATTAGTTCATCTCACACCCGCACGCACACATTTTATGTCTACATGTCATAAATACAATCAATCTGATATACAAATATTTGGATAGATTCATTTTCTGCAATATTTAAATTCATCTTGAATCCTGGTTCTTGTTAGTTCCATTTGAAGCCGTCAGCTCAGAACTTTGAGATAACCTTGGACAAAAAGACCCTCTGAGATCTTTGAAGGTGAACAAGTAAGTGGGGACGAAGGGTTAAATACCTGAAAGAAGCAGCCATCAATCCCTGCGTACTTCTCGTTCTTAAATCATCCGACATGCTTTGTTTAGTGGATCTAATGGAAATGTCTACACAGCAAGACCAAACAAGCAAATCATCACATAAGTTGCCACCTTGAGCATGAAGGCTGCTTATAGAAATCTCCAGTATGAAATTAAAAAGGTGCCACTTCCTTTGCATCCTTCACGTATCCGTCCAGACGTCTAGAGCACATCGCGACGCTGGATGATCAGTGTTTTTATCTCTCAGTGGAACAAGGCATGTACACAAATTTTGCTGACATGAACACACAGTTTGTTTGTGTGTGAATGTATCCATGATGCAAATAATTGTTCGACCCCTGTTTGGTTTCAGGAATAAGCCCTTCAAGGAAACTCTGTGCTTGTTACAAACACACACCGGCGACACCTACTGGGCTGATGAAGGTATGAGACAAAAAAAAAAAAAAAAAAACTGGTTAAGCTGTTTTGATGAAAACCCACATGATGGGATCAAGCTTTTTAAATAAAGGCCAAAGGAGGAGTTCTTAAGACAGAGAGCAGTATGTCCATGTGCTTCATTTACTTCCAGGTAGACTCTCATTTTTGTCCATTTAGTCTATTAATTTCATTTCTCTGTTGAGGGGGATGTTTACTTGTACACTGGGTACTGGCGCTGGCCCAACCGGCTAGACCGTTGTCCCCCTCCCGATGGTGCACTTGTCTGGGAAAGAGACAAAAGATATTCAGATGGAAACAACATGGCGGACAGACCAAATAAAACATGCAGCTTTAAAAACCACACCTGTGAAAACTGCGTGGGGTTGTAAAAAGTGACACCTCCTGCAGGTGTAGCGCCCTGGTTGGGATGACTCTGTCCAGGGAAAAGCAGAGGTACTTTGGTACTTCGATGTAGACACATTGATACACAACAAAGAAAGTGGAAAGACGATGCAGACTGGATCCACCATCACAAATCACTGTTGATGCGTATTTCAGTAGCCATGCAAACTAGATGCTAGGGTTAGAGCTACTCGCCGAGGACAACTTTAAAAGTTACATTTAAACCACCTCCAGCATGACTGACTCTGATCATTTAATATTTTTTTTCAAGCAAATTGAATAGGGTCTCACTAACTTAGTGTAGTGAGCCATTGGCTTAAAAAGTTTTCCCAACCATTGCATTTTATTCTTCACATTACAATGTCAAACTTTGATGTATTTTAGTCGGGCTTTTTGTGTGATAAATTTAAAAATTAGTGAATATCAGTGAAAAGAAGGGAATTCTGAGGGAGTTCTCCAAAATTTACTGAGTCTTGGTATGAATCCAGCTGTTCTATGAAGGAACCATAGACAACATGAGTAAAGAAACATAGTGCAACTGCAAATAAACTTAAAACACTTTGCCCAGGCAAGGTGAACATTAGTCAGAGAAGCAACCAAAAAAAACCTGAGACTATTTGCTCACAAGACAATTAATAGTTTTGCACTCCACAAATCTGGCCTTCATGGAAGACAAGCAAAAAAAGTCAATGACTGACTGAAAGGAAACACTGAAAAGTCTAGTCAGCAGTTTACGAGTAATATAAGGATACAGCAAATGGTGAAAGAAGGGGCTCCGGATGGACGATGCCAATATTCATGCTTTTGGCCTACATGTAACAGAAGACCTTTATGGTGAAACATAGTGGAGGCAGGGTCCTGTTGCAGGGAAGGTTATCTTCTTTAGGGACAGTATAGCTGGTCAGAGTTTAACGAGGATGGACGGAGCTAAATAAAGGACGATGCTGGAGGCGAAGCTGTTTAGGGCTGCACAAGTCTTGAGACTGAACAGAACAGCAATACGAACCATTCAGTCGAAGAGAAAATATATTTCTACACGACTATCTACATTCAAGAGACTAACAGGTGAGACTTGAAAGTTACTGCTCACAGATGCTTTCCTGTCAATCTGAGCTATGTGGCTAGGAAGAATAAAAATAAATAAATAAATAATCACTCTATATGTGCCAAACTGGAAGACATATTCTAAAAGCAAACAACATCTAATTACAACTGCAGTGAAGAGTGTTTCTACAAAGTTTGTCCAGAGGAGAGATGGAGATGCCCACAGCGCTTTTCAGATTTTTATTTATGACTTATTTTGATACATTTTACTTTTCTTCCTATCACATTTACTATTTTTTTCTATTACACCTACAATACAATAAGATACAATTGGACAAGTTTGAGGTTGTAATGTGGGAATATGGAAATATATACGTATTTCAGTTAGCAAAGCTTCACTACAGCTGTCAGAAAATCTTTGGACCCCACAAGCATGTGCCAGGAATCAAATTTTATGGCACATGCTTAAAATTTGCAATAACTTTCTTCCTTTGGTGTTTTATTTTCTTAAGAGCAGAGGCGGTAATGCGGGAGACAGCAGGCGGTAACAACAGGTAGACATTCTGGGGCTGATGCTCAGAAAAACATTGGATGTAAAAGGTGAAGTTTGAATGATGAGATGCTACAGAACAGAAACAGGAAGATGCTGGCAGGGCATTATTTAAAGACAGACTAGAAGTACCTGGTTTAAATGCTGACTCACTTCGCGTGATAAAGAACTCATTGAGCTAGAACGTGACAGCTAAAGAAAACAAGTAGGAAGGGAACAAAAAGAGAAAAAAAAATCCCATCACCCCATATTAATAATTGTTCATGCACTTGATTAGATCAATTTCACAATCAAGTTAAGAGTAAAACTAAGTAAACAAGCATTAAAACAACTGTAGTTCTTAGAAAACAACACCACACTGATGGAATTATATTACAGAGACATGGAATAGAAATTATAGTAATTATCCAGGCATTCAGCATGAAAAAGATGAGAGTTAAGGTTGGTATGCATGCATCCTTGAGTCTTCTCTTACAAGAACTTAAAAAAGTAAACTATGCAGACCAGCTTTATGTCATTGTGCCATAAAGCATAAAGCTCATTATAATGACAGATGGATCTTACCTCTCCTGACTGTGACCCATCTGGAACCGGAGGGCCTTCTGGGGCTGGTGGTAACAGCGTGGGGTTGAACACCTGAGCCGGTCAAAAGACTCAAGATGAGTAAAACTGCAACTTTGTACCTTAAAAATTGGATTTTCATCTTGACATTTTGAAGGATAGTGAAATATTTACATTAATGAAGTATAATTGAAGGTGGTAAGCACACTTTCATGTTATTACTCCATACATTTCCAGAATATTTATTTAATTTTTTGTCTACTTTTAAAGTACAAATACAATAGTTCACTTTCTGATACACGGCAGATATTCCAAAATATGTTAGGCTTTGAACACTGAAATAGACAAAGAACACATCGCTTGATTCCCCAATGAGAATAATGTCCAGAATACAAACGTTTCCCCCTACTCCACCCTGATCCAGATATGGAAAATAATTTTAATTTTCATCCACGCCCAGCCTGCATAGGAATGCAGGATGTTGTGCAAATGTTCAAAAAAACCAAAGGAACCTGTGGAGCAGCGCTGCTGCTGGGTGAATTCTGCTCTTGATTTCCACCTTCACTGCCTTCCTGAGGCTGCTGGTCACTGGGAGCTTCAAATAAAGAGAGAAACAAAAATATTTCATTTTGTTTGAACTTTATTAGCTTTTTTCAGCTTATCAACAAAAAACTGAAAAGAAAAGATATCTAAGTTTCACTGTTGTCTTAAATTTGGGCAAAAACAACAACAAAAAAAAGCTTGAAGAGCGACACATCTTATCTGTCATCTAGTTACATCTCAAAGACTTTTGAACTCTTCAAATCAAAGTTAAGGTATAATGTCAAAAAACATCTCTGACTGAATTCCAGTCAGAGATGTTTTTAAATGTTCTTGGTTCGCTCGTTGTATTTTCATGACACACACCTGAACTAGGCACAAACAGGTTAGCAGGCATGGGCATGGGGGCCAAAGGAGCAAATAGGTCCACAGGAGCCGGGGCCACTCCACTCGGCTTAGCTGCTCCGCTCGGGTTCAGAACGTCCACATATCTGCTCCTAGTGCCTGAGAAGACACAAACAGTCAGACAAATTGCAATTAAGGATTTAAAAGATAAATGGTAGAAACAAATTTCTGCCCTGAAAAGTATGAGGCCGAGTCAAATTTCCAATCGACTGTGCATCTTACCTGCTTTTCTGGAAAACATGTTGACGGCAGA